CCGGGCGGGCGGCGCAGGGAACCCGCGGCCTTAAAGGGGCCGCGCCCCGCAGCGCCTCGCACCGACGGCCCCAGCACCGCACCGACAGCCCCCAACCCTGCACCGATAGCCCCGCACCGGCAGCCCCCGGCCCTGCACCGACGGCCCGAGCTCCGCACTGACAGCCCCACACAGACGGCCCCCGACCCCGCACCGACGTGGCCGTAAAATCTATAAGGGAACGCACGCTTTTGAAGAAATTAATATTCGCGTGCGTCCGACGTCGTAATAAGAGGAATGCTGCCTTCTGAAACTCGCAAATTGAGTCTGAGGGGTTTTCTTTTAAGCGCCGATTTTAGGCATCACCGGCAGCCCCCGGCCCCGCACTGACAGCCCCGCACCTTTCTACCCCGCTCAGCAGGGCCATGAACGAGCTGCCCTCGCTGCGAGGCTCCCGCAGCCTGTGAACAGGTTGGTGCCCGAGCCCGCGGGGCCGGCCCGCTGTTCTTTCACGAAGATGACGGGCTTTTAACACTCTCGCTCAGCCCCTGTGTTCCTCCACGTGCCCTCTCTCCGAATTGCAATCCTGCGCCACGTGTTCTGGGATGACCCTGCTGGAGCAAGGTGGTTGGACCAGACGACTCACTGTGGTCCCTTCCAACCTGACCCGTTCCGTGGTTCTGTGAAATGCAATCCCTGCTGGAAGCCGCGGCCTGAAGAGGGTGAGGATGAGGCTCATTACCCGCTCAGTCCCCCGAACAGTTCAGTCGGCAACAGCTGAAGGGGCGGCACGGCCTGGGGAGACCCCGAGACCGTCATCAAAAAAAGGGATCAATTCTGCATCTGTGATAACCCCAAGAGTCACTTTGAGCCCTACAGCAGCCAAAGGACTTCGCCAAGCTCTGGGAAGGGTTGAGGGAAAGCTGCAGAGGTTGAGGGAGTGTCAGTGTGTCCATGTGTGTGCATATATACTCACAATATAGAGGTATATTCTCTGTGTGTTTGCATTTACATGGAACCCACAATTTGAGGAAAAAAGCAAAACTCTGCAGGAAATGGCGCTGTGATCTGCAGTGACTTCTGCAAACTCTTCCACCGGCACCAGGAAGAGCTACACTTGGGTGTTAATGGAGAGCTCTGGGGGTGGTGGCACAGAGTAGGCAGAGGGAAAGATTTTGAATAGAGATTGAGGAAGAAGCAGGAGAAAAGTCACATGGTTCAAAGAAACACCAAAGTTAAGAAAAAACACCACAGGAAGGAAGAGGAAAGCAAGGGGGATGCTTTCTCCTGTACAGCAAACTAGAGGAATGAGTTAAATGGCACTTTCACCACACTCAGCTGCTTCTGAAACCCAGGATCTCCATGGTTGGACAGCCCAGGCCAGATGCTGTAAAGATCTTAAGTGTCTTTTACTCCAGTGAAAAAACTTTGGCTTCTTCCCTCCACACCTTCATCCCTTGGGCTTTCTGACTCACCAATCTTTTGTTTTGGAAATCACGGGTTTGTCCTTCACTAGAGGTACAAACAGCCCTTATCACTGCAGCAAACACTGGTGACTCCCTTCCCCAGATAGTGTCCTGTCCAGTAGGGAAAGCTTAGCCCCATTTCATAGGAAGGGAATAAAAAAAAAACATAAAAACCAGAAGTGATTAAACAATTTGCCTCAAAATGAAAAAATGCTTGAAACAGATGGGAACACAGGTCACACCACCCCAAATCCAAGCCAGTGCCAGCATCACAGGATGATGAGGGGGTCCCTGCCCTCTTGCTTTCTGTCTCCTTCTTCCAGTTTACAGGCGACCCATCTGGAAAGGGCGCCTAATCTGAGGGCTCTCTTGCTTACTGTAACTGTGGCAATATAACTATTACATGACGTTGTTCAAAGAAAAATCTTAAAATACAAATGCAATGCAGTACTTCCTCATCAGGGGAAAAATACTTCCCTAAAATAAATGTCAAGTGACAAGGAAAAATCCCCCTTTCAAAGAAGTGAGGTTTGGGAGAACGTGGAAGAGCCGACAGTAAGGAAGCTGTCTGTACAAACCCCCTCCAACTGTGCTGGGACAAGGGCTGCAAAGCAGTGAAATAGGATTTAAAATATCCTGACTATGCTTTGAACAGAGCAAAGTCTTTCCTAATAACAAGAGATTTAAGTTAATTTTGGAGTGCTCTAGCCTTGCCTAGATCAAGGATGTGTCCCAGTCATGGGGTAAACCTCCCCTAACTGCATTTTCAAGGCAAACCCTGCCTTTGCCATGGGAAACTGTAGATTATGTTTAGACAGCAACAATTATGGGCAAAACTGAGGGAAATCTCCCCAGCCAACAAGGGCAAGTGAGTGAGGCCTGGTTCACTGGAAGTAACTCCTTCCTCCTGAGTCACACAGTAACCACAGGACTGAAGGACAGAAGTGAGGAAGGATATCTGGATGTTTCTCCCTCTTTCGCAAGGGTTCAGAGCACCATTCAGGGAAGACCCAGGGCACACTCTTCACAGGCCACAGATTGGAAGTGAGGTTCACATTAACCGAGAGCAAATCCACCATCCAAATTGATGGCAAAATGAAAATAAGTTTATAATCAGCTTTCTTTGCAAAACTTCCTCATTACCTCCTTACAGAATGGGAGCTCTGTTGCAACACCAGCAACTGAACAAAGCAGGGCTCAACATCAGACACCCAGAGCAGTGAGAGTTTTTCTCAGGCATCAATTCAATCCTAACTTTTACATCAAATTTCAGGAATAGCAGAGCCACCAACCATATGGAGAGCATTTTTTTGGTTTCACAGGTAATGTCCTCCTTAAAAGAAGCATGAAAAAATTGTACTGGATGTAAACAACTTATCATGCAAAACTTTTGCATAACCAATCATTTATGCTGCCATCCTGTAAGACTACAGCACTGCAGTTCAAAATCCAAACTGTGAGAAAATCCCAGAAAATGCTCCTTACGTTCTTCTGCAGTTTAATTCCCATGGAAAACAACTTGGTCTCTATAAATATGTTTTGCTCCAATGATCAAATTATCAAAACACTACTAGGGAGCAAAAATTCTGTGTTGAGGTAGGGTCCAGTCTGTGCAAGGGACCAAACCACAGCAGGGTGAGTCAAGTGTCCGAGGGCTGGGCAGGAAAAGACCCAGACAGGATGTTTTTGCCTCACACAGGAATCATTCTAGAGAATTTCATGTGTGCATCAATCCTCAGAACCGCAACCCTCTGCACATCAAAACCATCTGAACCTGCAAGCCATGGAACAAGAGCAAGGCAGATGTATTCTCCTTAACCAGGAACTAGAAATGGGAAACTCCTCAGGCAGGATTCACAACAGATCAGCCAGTTCCATTTGAAGGAGGCCTAAAATGCTTTTCCACCTCCTGTACTGCGCCTGTGAGATATATAAAGGTCTGGGATACCTTTTGGGAATTTGAATGGACAGGTATGGGAGTTCTTGCCGATCTTCTTAAATTTGCCGTGTCACTTCAAAATGAACTGGAACATTTCAAAGTTTCAAAAGCAGTTTCAAAGGAGGGTTATCATTTGTAGAAGGGCAAGTGTGTGGTGTCCTGCAATAAATGTTAAGTAGACCTTTGGTGTCATCCAGGGAAGGAGGACTGCTACTATCCTACTGCTACAGACTGTAACAGCAAAGGCCACCTCCTTCCTTACACCTCAGGCAGGATGTTTGCTGATGCATCAGGAGTAAATGCAATTTCAGGCAAACGCTGTTTTCCCTTACTCTGGCTGCAGTCACTGCCCGCTCTGAGCAGCCGGACAGCAGGATGGGCTGTGCCTTCACGAGCCCCTTTCACAGAATCACAGGTAAAGTTGGAAGGGACCACAGTGGGTCATCGGGTCCAACTTCCCTGCTTAAGCAGTGCCATCCTAGAGCACATTGCACAGGATTGTGTCCAGATGATTCTTTAATATGTCCAGTAAGGGAGACTCCACATCTTCTCTGGGCAATCTGTTCCAGTGCACAGTCACTGCACAGTAAAAAGTTCTTCCTCTTGTTCAGGTGGAATTTCCTGTGCATCAGTTTCTGCCCGTTGCCTTGTGTCCTACTGCTTGGCAACTCCAAGCAGAGCCTGGTCCATCCTCTTGGCATCCCTCCTTTATATATTTCACAGAATCACAGAGTCAGTGAGGTTGGAAAAGACCTCTGAGGTCATTAAGTCTAACCTTTGACCTAACACCACCTTGTCTACTAGACCACGGCACTGAGTGCCACATCCAGTTTCTTCTTAAATACCTCCAGGGACAGTGACTCCACCACCTCCCTGGGCAGCCCATTCCAATGTCAGATCAGTCTCTCTGTAAAGAACTTCTTCCAAATGTCCAACCTAAACCTCCCCTGGCACAGCTTAAGACTGTGCCCTCTTGTCCTATCGCTGGTTGCCCGGGAGAGGAGACCGATCCCCACCTGGCTACAGCCTCCTGTCAGGGAAACTGGACAAGGTCTCCCCTGAGCCTCCTCCGGGCTGAACAACCCCAGCTCCCTCAGACGTTCCTCACAGAACTCGTGCCCCAGACCCTTCAGCAGCTTCGTTGCCGTTCCCTGGACACATTTATACACACTGACAAGT